GTTCTTAATAAAAAAAAGGATCATGTATAATTAGAATTAATAAAATTAATGTAGAATCTACATATCCCTATATAGTCTTCACAGAGGGGGGAAAAAACTCATCACTATAATTAAATCACATCAAATCTGGAAGTACACATGACTTCACAGCTACCTAAGCTGTTTTGTCTCGCAAAAGTGGTACATAGTAAATATATTAAAAGAAATAGTTGTTTTCCATAAAATTAATGTTTAGGCAATGCACTCAGACAAATCAGTCTGTCTTCTTTGGAAAGGCTGCTATTTATTTCTGTTACTTAACCTTTCCCCTCAGTAAAATCATCACACCAAGGGTTTTCTGGCAAAAGCAAGCAGCTGTCAAGATCAATGGATTAGAGAAAATTATTTCTTTCTTTTTTGACTGCCAGAATAACTCCTGCTATCAAGTGATAATTAGCTGTTAAGTGTCAGCTGGGCAAATACACCAACAACTGATTTCTTTTATGGTTGACACAATGTAAGCATGGGCAATTTATAACAGGATTAAAATACTTAAGGGACTTTCCTTTTTTATCAGGTCATGCAGTTTAATTACCAACAAACTGAAAGGAAAATAGTGTTGTATTTAGCAATGAAATAGTTCAGGATAAGGAAATGAAACTCTTATTTTGTACATATCCAAAGTAGCTTTTGAAATTGTCATTCTCAAACTCTGAGCAAGCTGCCTGTTTTGAGAAGAGACACAATTCTGGCAACTGAAAATCGCGTTGTTCACTGAGGCCAGCCAAAATCTGGGAGACAGATAATGCAAACCCATAATGAGTGGATTCATATAACACATTCAGCCAAAACTGAATAAACCACTGTGAATCAGTCCACAGACTCAGTTCAGATATCTTGCCAGAGCTGATTTCTTACCCAAAACCTTAAACTTTCAAGCTTATAACAGAAAAACAAAATTAATTTGTTAATCTGGTTCATGGGGGTGGGCATTAGTCCCTTCATAAATGCATTCCTGTCTCTCTGACACAACAACCTGTTAAACTTTGAACAGGAATTATCTCCATGGAAATATCCACAATTACCATTTAGGATGTTTCTATCCTGTGCTCAGGCTGGCTTGATTCTGCTGAGACTGAGACATTTTGGCAACAATTGCTGAGAGTGAGACATTTTGGCAACAACTTGCAAAGTATACAGTCCAACAGCAGGTTACCACATCCTTCCCTTGGACAATTCCCCCGTCTCCCACCTTTTTGTCCCGCAAAAGCAACTGCCAATCACTTTCCCTCCTGTATGTCTGTGGGTCTGTGTGGGGGTGTCTTTCTGGAGATACTTGTGTGCGTATATACACACACACATACATACATATGCACACGCACAGAGAAAATTAAATAACTTTATATATACAAAGTGAAAGAATCAAAATGCCCATACATGCAACATGACAAGTAGCTTTAAAAAATGTTTTCTTATTGCCCTGTTTCATTCTTATGGCTTTTAGAGCTATCTTACCCCGACTGCTACAGAAGCACAATGGCTATAACTCTTTGGCCTTGTAAATAGAATGTTTGCTGGCTCAAAACATAGCAGAAACTTTTTAAAATTACTTTTTTTCTTTCTTTCTCTGAGCTTCCTAATTTTCCCTGTGCTCATTTAAAAAAGAAACCAGTGACACACTGTTTCATTGTTTTTCCAGCTACCGGAGGTAGAATAGTTTCACCCCAGCTCCCAAAAGCCCATAGCTAGTTTGTTGGAAGGAGTATTTTAGGAGGACAAGCAATATAAAAACAGTTTCTGCCTTGTTTCAAACCAGGAACCTTTCGTTTGTAAGGAAAGAGTTATAGCTATTATGCTGCCATGGAAATGGTAGTTCTAAAAAGGTATTACAGACTACAGTTACCATTGACTCATTTGAAGAGACATTCTGCCTCTGCAAAATAGCCTATGAATAGTGGAGTTAGCCTGCAACAAACTGAATTGTGTTATCTTATGTGGACAGGAGAACTCAAGACAACATAACTGTCAGCCCTTCAAGGTAGTCTAGACAAGAAGCACACCTAGGAGTTCTAGCTCTATCTTTATTGTAACTTTACAATCTTGTAAGTCTGAAAGTACCTCTCCCCCCATCAACCAAGAAACTAGGGCAATGTTTGCCATGCTTATATTCCTTCTGCAGGCTCAGCTTCCTCTTATCTGACCGTTGCCTAGTCTGCCGATCTTCCTCCTGTCTCCCAAGGTCATTCCCACATACCACTATAGTAACATGGGAAAATAGACTTCAAAAGTAGAGCAAAAAAAAGTGCCCTGAGGTTGTTTTGATGATAAGTGGGGGAATAATACAGGGCAATGTCATCCTGAAAATGTTTATGATTTTTAAATAATTGAATTTATTAAATTTACAGGGATTTGCTTTTAATTATATTAAAATGTCTCGGGTGACAGCATTTCATGCAGTTTTGTTAGATGTGAAAGTGGAATCTGATTTAGTATTTACTGTTAAGAAAGTGCATACAATTTGCTTATGTGTTACTATGGTTATTGATGGCTTTTATGATAAGATTTAAAAGGAAGCACTTCATTAAACTGTGTTGATTCTCTTACTTTTCCATCACTCTTCATGCAATTCGTGTAATCAGAATTAACTTGGAGGCTGTGTGCAAATACCATCACCCTCACCACTTCTGGAATCAACATACCAGCCAAAAGATAATGTTTTTATTGTGCAACAGTTGCCCATTCAGTTGCAGTTTCATAGCTTTCAGTGAAATAAATGGGATAAAAGCATACTAATCTTTGTGAGACTGCAAATTCAGCCTCTTGATTTCAGATGTAAAACTTTCCTGCTTTGTTTGTTTGTTTGTTGGCCTCCTTAGGCAAATGCTCTACTTAAACCTAAGTGATTAGAAGGTAATTGCTCTATTTTCCAGCAGAAAGCCCAAACCTCTGTGACGCACTATATTTTTCCTTTGGAAACACAATTTCTATACATTTGCATCTTTTTTTCCCCAATAAGATGACTTTTTTTTCCTCCCACCAAGTATACAATTCCTTTCCAGGTTCTATATTAGGATAGGATGGATGAGTAATTAATTACAATCAATACCTTTATTAAAGCTGCTAATCCCATTGCAACAAGAAGAATAATTTGTACAACTGATTCTTTATGCTTACATTTATTTACCTAAAGTGGGGATTTAATAGAGACACCTTTTTAAACACAAACTTTTAGTGGCCCATTACTATAATACAAACTGTTACATCCATTCCTGGATAAATGATTTTTTAAAAATCTATTTCTTTAAATATACAGGTAGACCTCACTTAATGACTGCCCTGTTTAGTGACCATTCAAAGTTACGATGGCATTGAAAAAGTAACTTTATGACCAGTCCTCACACTTAGGACTATTGCAGCATCCCACAGTCATGTGATCACCATTTGTGCACTTCACAGCTGGCTTCCAACAAGTGAAGTCAATGGAGAAGCCAGCAGTAAAATTGTCAGTCACAGTCACATGATGTCTCGCTTAACAACTGTGTCACTTAGCAACAGAAGTGATGATTCCAATTGCATTAGTTAAGCGAGGAATACAGGTAATTGCTAACCTCTCCCTCTTAATCCCTGTGTGTTTGTACACTGCTGCTCCCAGCTGCCTCCTGCCTCTCTTTTCCCCTCTTTAATAAGAGCAAAGCCCCTTTTCCTTTTGCATCTCAGAAAAGAACTGGGACCAGACATCAGAACTCTTCACTGATTTCACTGCTAGCTCACAAAACACCACTGAACTTCAGACTTTAAGGAAAGCCTCTGTTTTCATTGTAGGAGGAGAGCCCTATTAGTCTATGGAAGCCAAAAATCAGAAGCACTCTGGTAACACCTTTTTAGATTAACACATTTTATTAAAAGGCAGAAGCTTTGAATAAAATGTGTGAAAAGTGCTACCAGGCTCCTTCTGATCTATACCAGTTGTGACTGATTAAAGTAAATCAAGAACCTTAACTTCAAAAGAGGGACCAGATTAGACTTCACTTGAGTAGTGTTGGGATATTCTGCAGTCACAGTTAAAGGGGAAAGCACAGGCAATGGGGGGAAAGGCATAATGTATAGTCCACTAACACATTTACCTGTCCTCCAGTGAGTGGAGAAGAATGAGTACCACCAATGTAGCTGCTCTTTAAGCTGTATTTTCATTACTTTGGGTATGTCCAACTTTGCCTTTCCTTGAAAACTTCTGAAATTCACAACTATTCAACATTCTCCAGTGGAACTGGCTGTGATTTTTAAGGTGTGTTTCCCATTTTGGGAGCAATGCATGTAGAGATGGAGAGGTTAGGAGACACAACTCAGCAACATGAGCCTTTACAGTTTACAAAAGTTGGCTTGGGAAGCCAGGTCTTTTAACAGCAAAAGACAGCAGTGAAGTGTGGAATAAGTTTGTCGTGCCTGCACCACACTTTTGGAATATCAACACCAGTTACAATTATTATCTTGAGAGGACTGCTTATTGTCAGCTGTACAAAGCTGAGGATATCTCATTTGCAAAACATACATTAGTCGTATGTTTAATACACATATTTTAGACATTTATTTCATTTCATTGAGGTGGTGACAGACCACACTTATGTTTTTCTTTGTCCAAAGAAACCAAAGAGGCATGGAATCAAAATTCCTTCATTTGCTTAAGATGAATTCATCTTAATCTTCTTGCCAAACACATAAATGGGACAATTAATTTGATTGCCTATGGTTTAGTCCCTTTACATAAAGAAAGCATCTAACTGTGGGGTGCCCCCACTTTTCAGAGCCATGATATATCGCTTTTAACCCTATCAGGCCATGAAAATCAAGATAAAACTGGAACCTATTGAAGGGACTTGCCAAGATAGCCACCATTTGCAATAGAACAATTGATGGATTTAAGTATCAATTCTGCAAAAACATCGAGGTTTAGCATAAAGCCCCAAACACTACAAAAGAAAACAAGATCTTTTACCTTCAGTAACAAGAAAGGTACGAAATAAATAAGTAAACAACTCTTTTGACATACATTTTCTATAAAACTTCAGGTAGTAGAAAATAAACTGCAGCATTATTTCATTAATATTACCTTAATAGTCCATGTTCCTGGCTCTGGATCTTTTATGTTCACTACTTTAGCAGAATTTTCAATATTCAGTAATTCATTCAAGCCAGATCCTTTCTTTACAAGTGAACCTATAGTGCAGGCAAAGAATGAGTAAGAATTTTATTTTTATTAGTTATCTCAGTGATGCTCAAATCTGGACCATGTTCTATACAACAGGAGCTAATTCTGTCTTTCTGCAACTTTACTACAAAACATGTTACGTTACAAATGTATCTATTCCATTTGGATCATAAATTCATTCATATATGCTGCACATTTAACCATCTTGCACTAATTTGCATTAATTACACTAAATTGCCGTAATAAGAGTATTCTCAGAAGACAGTGGATTTGTAGAGATTTTTCTATGTCTATATCTTAATCAAGTGAGTCAGTGCTGGATTGAACTAAAGTCTGCAAATAGAAATGGGCTGGAAGAGGGACAACAGATTGAAATTTAATCCTAATAATGTAGTGGTACAGTTAATGGGCTGATCCCAGGTCAAGGAATTAGGAAAACAATCTGCACTAGATAGATCCTTTGAAAAAGCATATTTGTAGATTGGGGGTAGTTCTAGATCCAATTTCTCACTGGACACCAAGTGGTTACAATACCTAGGAGTCTCTATTTTCAGCTCTGGTTGGTTTGCCAGCTACAGCTCTCACTTAATTGGGCCAGATTTATCATAGCAATTCATTTTTCAGTAACTTCATATCTAATAAGCTCTTCATAGGGCTGTCCTTGAAGATTTTGCATAGGCTTCAACTGGTACAGAATGCTCAGTTCTCTGAGAAGACTCAGTTACTGAGCAATATGCTTGATTACTGAGTCTTACTCTGCCTGTTCTCATCTTCTTCATTAGCTACCTATTTCCCTTTTACCGTATTTCAAGATATACTTGATGACATGCAAGGTCCTAAATGGCTTGAGGTGCAGATCCTTGTTGGAATACCTCTTCTGCTATATAAGATCTCAGATATTTCCTTGCTTTATTGAAAGCTAACCTTTTTTCATCCTTCAGTTTACCAGCAGTCATTTCTCAATCATCCAAATATTTATAGGCAATGGCAATGTTGCTGACTTTATTATTTGCCAACACATTGTCAAATGCAGGAAGTGTGCACTGTGTATGGGCAATCAGAAGAAGACTCAAAGGGTATGGAGTCCTTGGGTTTCTCTGAGCTTGGTTGTTTTCTTGCAAATGTTTCATTACCCGGCTAAGTAACATCTTCAGTGCTAGAGTGGAATGCCTATTCAGTAGCACTGAAGATGCTACCTAGTTAGGTAATGAAATGTTTGCAAGAAAACAACCAAGCTCAGAGAACCCCAAGGACTCCACAGTTCAACTACATATATTCTCTTCTACTGATACAGTGAAGTATATTTTTACTGGTGTTATGTTGTTCATGGGTTGTGGCTGAAGTGAATCTGTTACTATTGCTTTCCTGCTAACCTCAGTTTTGTATCTAAATTTAAAAATTAAAATCATTCCCTTGGCCAATATTTATATAAATTGGGTGGAAGGTAGCACTCATTATGAATACCACTAAACCACTTTTATAATCTTCAGATGAAAAATGAGACACCAATCTTCTTTTGAGATCCCAATGTTACCTATCATAGAAAACCTAAAATATTTTTTTTAAGTGAAAGACATGTCTAAGTAGTTTTTAAACTGTTGGGAGTGCTTGCCCATCCAATTGTCATGTCTACTTTTGAACCTTCTTGATTTCTCTTCTAATCTTCTAGTCTTCCTTAATTTTGGAATTGCCATTCTGGTCTCCTACTTTTATTATTCTTATCCTTAAATCTCAATCTCTCTCTCTCTCTCTCTCTCTCTCTCTAACTAGGAGAGTCACATTTACAAAAAAAGAGCTAGTACTCTTTACCTGCCATCCCATAAAATACTTCAAGAAGTTCAGTTAGAGTCATCCAGTGGTAAGGGTCAACACTATCTACTCCAGTTAGATACTGAAAATAAGTCATCCCTGGCTTTCCTCATAAAAGGAAATAGATTAATGTCTCACCCAAAGGGTTATGAATTTCAATTGCTGGAGAAGGACCACTTAGTGACACTGTAACTTCTTTCAGACTAGGATCAAAAGGGATTTGCCAAGAGCTTCCTCCTGAAGTTAAATGATCTGTAGACAAGAGATGAACTTTGGAAGCTTGTACTGCTTCTTCCACCCATTTCAGTACCTGGAAAAGAGAATAAAGCCATAATGTCTTCGATAATCAAATACATTCTCCTTGCAGAATAAGGGTTCTTTTGTACCATGAATGAACTCTTCAGCAGTCATCCAACACCTAGCTTCCAGCATACATGCCCAAATGCCCAAGGGTCGATAAAGAGCCAGTGTAGTATAATAAACTAAGATCAGGGAGACCTATATTTAAGTCCATGAAAGCTCATTGGGAGGCCTATCTCGCAAAGATGTTGTTGCAAAGAAAGGATTGAGAATGGAATACTATATATGTTGCCTTGTGCTCTTGGATATAAGGCATGATTTAAAGCCAATAAATCAATACATAATAAGAGATCATTATAAGGGAGCAGGAGTTATTAAATTAATTAATGAAAATGACATAAATATTAATTTAATTTTTGTTTCCCACCCTTGTTCCCAAAATCTTTAGCACAAAGAGTGCCTATGGAGACTTTGAGACAATATTAGAGAAAGTATTAATATGTCCATTTTTCTCAGGGCATTTCATACTGAGCATTTACCTCAAGATCTTACCTTTTTAAAACAATGTGATTTTTCTGAGTTCCTAGCATTTAAGAAAACAGTTATCTTGCATAAAGGTAAGTGTATCATTATGAGGTAGGAGGGCTACACTGTACTTTGGATTCTGTTTCTAAAATGTGTTTCACAGTTGTGAGAAATGGCAGGGCGGCTTGAAAGTCTTGCAGACATGTACTACATTGGCACTCTTGTGCCTCCAAAGCATGTTGCAGGGATGTTCACAGGATATGGTAAAAAAAAAAAAAAAACTCACAGTTGTGGCCACAGTGGTGCGATCAAAGTTCCTGTTTTTTTGTTTTTGTTTTTTTGAAACCCAAACTCTGTGGATAGTGTGGCACTCTGCATTGTTTTATTAGATATATACTGCTAAAAGCAGGATGGTGGCTGGAGACTGAGTTACACAAGGTAACCTATTATTGTTATGTCCTACAAAGTAATTCAGTGTTTCTATGTTCTGTAGTGTACATTTATATGTATGTGTGTGAAACAGAGAGAAAATGACTATAGCAGCAATGCAATTTACTAAGAACTGAGGTAGGTTGTGATACACATATGTACTCTTTCTCTAACATTATGGCATATGTACTTTTTCTCTAGCATTATGGCATGTGGCTGCTAAGAAATTATTTCAGTGTTGTCTCATAAAGTATAAAGTATATCATGAAGACTCCTGAGCTGTTGTGTGTTCCGTAGAGAGCAGAGTTTAGAAGTGAATTGCAAGCTCCATTAAGTGACATTACATATTTGAAGAAAGCCAGGAAAAATATTCATTCATTTATTTATTTAATCAATTAGATTTATATACTCCTTTCCCCTCCAACATGGCACTAGGTACAGGTCTTTTTTTAATCAACTGTGCAAACAGATGTAAATCTGCATTTCCAAAATGCTTCTCATGCTTCATGGGAAGTAGTATGGTAACCTTTTTGACCTTTGTGGAGCATAAGAACCTGAGGTTTTAAGCAGAAACCACAGACATACCGAATACATTGGGGGGGGGGGAGTATGCATGGAAGTGCTTTTAGAAACTGGATGTCTGTGTATATCCAGAACTAAGATCATCTGTTCAGAAAGAGTCGATACTTCCAAAGCTGCTAGAAGTTATTAGAAGAGGAAACATTCTAGTCAACCCAACCATCCATCCAAGCTTACTTTGCCTCCTTAAGGTCCAAAGCAAAGGAGGTACAACCAAGATAGATACTAGTGCTACTCATTTTGACCAAGCTAATGTACCAAGCAATATCAAGCATGGATTGCTTGTACAAGTCACATTTACTGATTCCAGAGATGTGATGCCATTGCTACTGAACAGTGAATTTCCCCTATTAGTGGCTGCTACTCTTGCAGAAGACAAATAGGCTGGTCATGAAATGGAGCTTCTATCGCTATTATTTTTTTTAAAAAGGCCCCAGGAAAACATATTAGGCCAAAAAAAAAGTGGAAGGAGTAATTCTTCACTCTTGGAAATGCCAAAAGCATTTGCATGATGTTCAATCTGCAGTCAGACAGGGAATGAGGTAATATGGAGCTGGAGAAGGGAATTTTAATGAGAAACAAGACAGAAAGCCTAAAATCTAAGTGGTCTGTGGTCAATTATTGCTTAGACAAATATGCAGTACAAAATTATGACATTTGAATGTAATTTGACATATGTTTTCAATTTAAAACTCTGTGACAAATTTTGCACATTTCCCCCACCCTCATAAATGGACTACATTTATATTTAATGTACAGAGTTAAAAAGTGCAGGGCAGAAGGAAGACTGCATTATATTAGCAAATACAAGGAAACACATTTCATCTTAAAAATGTAAGGCTTTTTATACCCTCATTGGTGAATCAGTTAACATTGGCAGCAATGAATCAAGAAAAGATCATAACCGCTGATTGCTCTTTCGTTTTTACTTATTTTAATGGAAAAGTTGTAACTTTTATTCCTGGATCCAAAGGACTATGCAGCTAGTTCCATGTACATAACAGAATTGTGTACCTCAAATTTATGACCCTTCATTACATTCTAAGCTGCTTTTAAATCCTTGCATAATATAAATACTTTTATTTTATTTTTCAAATGGATGCCAAGAGCATTGCTTTCCTCTGATTGTGTCTTCCTCTTGATTTAGAATAATACCAACAGATTACATAACAAGACAAACGAAGGAAGAATATGGTTTTTGAAAAAAAAGAGAGAGAGAAACTGTTTTTAATAACAATAATAACAACAACCATTAAAATAATTCAAACAAATATGAGTAATAATGTCCAAAGTAAAGTATAAAAATATCCAAGCATCAGTTAGTGGCTGGGGGGTGAGGTGGAAGGGACAAAGAAAGAGGGGACTACTATAATGCCCTTTTTATAGCTTTTTAAATTAATTTTGATTGTTTTGCTTTTTAAACTTTTTTGTCAAATTCCTTTAAGTGTGTGTG